TTAACATCTGCTTTATCTAATTTAAAATATTGGATGGATTCTAATGGGTTACAACTGTCTGCTTCTAAAAGTGCTGTCGTGGTATATACGCGTAAAAATAAACTCCCTCCTATTTCCCTAAAGTATGATAATGCTGCTATTCCCGTTAAAGATCACGCGAAATTTTTAGGCATAGTTTTAGATTCGAAACTTTCAGGCACCCGCCATTGTGTATATGTTGCTGATAAATGTGAACGCTTATTAAATATGATAAGATGCCTTTCAGGTGTTTGGTGGGGAGCTCATCCATATTGTTTAAAGTTGGTTTACAACGCCCTTATTAGAAGTGTTTTAGATTACGGTACATTTTTGCTAGAACCAGGTAATGTTGCAGCCCTTAGGAAGCTAGACAAAATTCAACATAAAGCTCTGAGGATAATATTGGGAGCCATGAAGTCGAGCCCAATAAACGCTTTACAAATAGAATGCTGTGAACCCCCCCTTCAATTAAGACGGCAATATATTTATGACAAATTCTTTTTTCGTACTATTCAGTGTTCAAATCATCCACTTCTTTCTAAGATTAAGGCACTTTATGAATTATTTTCTACTTTCAGCTATTGGACACATAAAACTCCACCATGTCTCATTGTTAGTTATAAGAAATTCATTTCCCTTTCTTCTCCTACTTATGTATCAAATTACCTTCCTATTTTTAATGTCGATTATAAATCATTAATTTTTCCACCTACTATTCATTAGAGTTTGGCAAGCGAAACGTGACACCACCTATTTTTCCATTTTCATATGGCAACAACATAGAACTGTCAGTTTGACACTACGTTAGACAATTCAAGAATATTGAATTTTGTTGTTTTTGCGAATTTGAACTTGTGTTTTTGGTTAAAAATTATGTCGAAGCCGATAAAAAGTTCATCGAGGAAACTTCTTTCCATCATGATTGACAAGTTTACTGAAGTGAAAACTGAATTAAATAAAAATTTCATGGAGAAATTACAACGATTAGATAAAGTTGTATCTTTTTTAGGTTAGTTTTGTATTATAATTTTGATACTTTCATTTTAATTTTCTGTAATTAACTAAACAGATATTTTTTATAAAATATTGCTCTATTTCAGATAACTGTGATGGTGATATTCAACCAATAATGGAGGAGATAAATGCAATAAAAACTTTAGAAAAACAAGAAATGCTGAATTCGGAAACGCAGTACTTACAAAAAATTTCTTCAATGACAGGTCTCTTTTCTTGTTTTGATTTAAGATAGATTGATAGTATTCCTATAATATTTACATAGGTTTTTTATGATGTATTGGTTTTTATTGTTGACATCCAATGATGTCATAAGAATGTTTTGTTTAACAAGGAAATTCACAGAATTCATGAAACTAATCAAACCATGTAATTGTTATACATGCTAAATATGCACATAAACTTAACTAAATTAAACATAAATTGCATTCATAGTTGAATAGGTATTTAAATTATTTTGATGTATGTGTCTATCATTATTTGCTTTTAAATACATTTAACATATCTTTGTTTCAAAGTGTTTAATCTTTTATAGATGTAAGTATAAGGACACTAAGAAGGATAAAAAATGAAGCATTAATTAATAAAGGAAAATGGGACACTCCTGGGAAAAAACGACCTCATCAACCAACAGTGTCTGCTTTAGATAATTTTGATTTAAGTGCAATTCGGAATAAAGTAAATGAATTTTACTGTGTGAAAAAAATTGTTCCAACATTAAGAAGCCTTCACAATGAATTAAAAGATGCAATAGGATTCAGTGGTAGCCGTGAGACTTTACGAAAAATTATGCTTAAGAATGGATTTTCTTTTAAAAGCAATGAAAATGAACGTTCTATGCTTATAGAAAAATACCAGATTTCTGCATGGAGGCACAAGTATTTGAGAGAAATAAATATAAAACGAAACGAAGGAAAGCAAATTGTGTACCTTGATGAAACTTATGTACATCAGAATTATAAAGTTAAAAAGTCTTGGCAAGGACCTTCAACAACTGGTGTCACTACAAAGATATCCTCTGGAAAACGGCATATTGTTGTGCATGCTGGATCTGAGGAAGGTTTTGTGCCTGGTGCATTATTAGTGTTCAGTAGTAAATCCAAATCTGCTGATTATCATGATGATATGAACTCATCGAACTTTATGAAATGGGTCAGAGAAAAATTAATACCAAATTTAAGTAAGCCCAGTGTAATTGTTATGGATAATGCCAGCTACCATATAAAACAAATCAATAAACCGCCTATAATGTCTAATACCAAAGCAGATATCCGTAAATGGCTTGTAAATAATGGAATACATTTTGAGGAATATCAGACAAAGGCAGAGTTAATGTGTTTGGTTAATGATAAGAAAACATTGCCTGTATATGAAGCTGAAGAGATTTTAAAAGAACATAATCATGAACTTTTATTGCTGCCACCGTATCATTGTGACTTAAACCCAATAGAGATGGTTTGGAGTCAAGCAAAAAGAAAAATTGCAAGCAGAAACATTGGAATACCAGGAAAGGAAATGGAAAACTTAATAATAGAGTGTTTTAACTTAATTACCCCTAGTGACTGGAAGAAATACACTGATCATGTTTTAAATGTCGAAAATGATTACAAATTAAAAGATGGCATTGTTGAAAACGAACTTGAAAAATTTATTATATCTGTTGGTGCAGACAGTAGTGAAGAGAGTGACTCTGATGATTCCTTGTCATTGTTATCAGGTGTAGAATATTTAGAAACAGATTTTGACTATGAATCAGACTAAAGTATTTTTAGTCTGATTCATAGTCAAAATCTTATCTTAAATTTTCTATTGTGATTAACATGATGATTTTGTGACACCTGTATTATGTAATTTATCCATGGCACTTAATTGTAACAAAAATAAATGTTTTTTTTATTGTAATCTGGTGTTTATATTGACTAATTTAATTTGATAGATAGTGGTTCTGGATCAGAGCAAAAGGTTGTGATGAAAATCCCTTAGGAGACATGTATGTGTTATGAACACATTATAAATATAAGGGCCAGAAATCAAAATTGGCTAACATCACATTTATTAAAAAAATGTGGCCAGAGTCGCCCATATTCATTACAAAAAAACAAAGAAGTCGTTGCAAAAAACACCCTTTTAATTAATGACAAATATGAATTTTTAATATTATAAGTGCTGTTAGCCAATAGGTATAACGAATGGGTTAAAAAAAAGATTCGATTTAGTCCGTCAGTCAGATAATAGAAAAATATTGGATACGTATTTTTTTTCGCTTTAATTTAACAACAAATGGCTTAAGAGGTACTATGCGACGACTTCAAATATGCTTTGCAACAATGTTACTTTAATACAGTTTATCGATACGAAATCAAGTGTCAAAATGGAGTCCAGTGGAGAATGCCGATATTGACATTTCGAAATTGCTCATCATTGATAGAGAATACGAAATAGTGATTTTGACACAATCAAAGTGTCTATTTTTTACGGTGATGACGATTCTTGGTTGTCAGTTGAGTTAGTGAATAGGCCTACTGATATGCTGTTAACTGTACAATTAAGAACAGTCACGCTTTAGTCAAATGTTCCAAAACAAATAATTTTAATTGATATCTAAATGTTAAGATTAAATATAATTAATAAAAGTATCAAAATTATTTTGCAGTACTACATTCAGTGTTTACTGCTTAAGAATTTTTGAAATTGCCGCCCTTTTCTTGTGACACGTTTCGCTTGCCAGACTCTATGACATAGTTGAAAAATCTGATTTAAACGCTAAATTAAACTTTGAAATCGCGATTGACAGCAAATTCAATGACTATCACCACATATTTTGTGATGCTTCCAAACATTCGATATCTATCTGCGTTGGAGTCGGTATTTATCATTCTCAATATAAAATAGTTCAGAAAGTAAAACTCCCTCCAGAATCATCCGTGTATTCAGGAGAATGTTTTGGCATATTCAAAGCCTTAGAATACAGTAAAATCATGAAACTTAAATCTGTTATAATATTTTCAGACTCAAAGAGTGCTTTACAGTCTATAGAAAAATTCCCGTTTAAATTAAAATGTTATTCTCCCGTTATTTTTGACATCAGACAAATGATACAAAAATGTATTGAAAACGAAGTTCATGTAGAATTTGCCTGGGTTCCAGCTCATGTTGGTATAAAGGGTAATATTATAGCTGATAGGCTTGCTAATGAAGCAGTATCATGTGGAGATGTTTTTCCTTTTCAAAACTATTGTTCAGATTTATTAGCAATTCCAAAAGTAATATTACGCGAGAAATGGGAGCAAATGTGGGAAATCAGTAAATTGACAAAAGGTTAATTTTATGCTCAGATACAAAATCATATTCCTTTGAAACCTTGGTTTTTCTTAATGAAGTGTGGCAAGCTAGAAACTTCTATGATTACACGTATGAGACTTGGTCATTCTTCTGCGCCTTCTCATTTAGCTAAACTCCATATAATCAACGATCCTAGGTGTGACTGTGGATCAGATGAAGGGACAGTTAATCATATTATTTTCTCCTGTCCTAAATTCCAAAGATCCTCCCTCTGGCAAGACCTAACATCCCTTCGTGTTCCATTCCCGACTAACATAGCTACACTATTACATACTTACATATTATCTCATACTCAATAATATAAAATTGTAAAAAATGGTAATATATATAGTATATTTAAGATTATAAATACCATACATTCCTGATCCCATCCTTCCTTATCCGATTTCTTTCCTATTCGTTTCTCAAATTTTTTACTTGACATTGGCAAAATGCACAAGCCGTGCCTGCCATATTATAAAAAAAAAAAAAGATTGATTCGATGCTAATAGTGCTTGGGATTGAATCAATAGTATCGATACGAGTAAATAGTATTTATCCATCCCTAGACACTATTTTATAAAATGTGACTTATATACTCTTTGTGTCAAATATAGATTTGGCTAATATAGGTATACTTGTCTTTCACTCTTTGAGGTTGGTCTGTGGTCGAAATGAGTGTAGTTTATTATTGTACGAATTTTGTGAAAATTGTTTTTTACTAAAGTCTTTGCCGATTACGTACACTCTACAATATTACAATGTTTAAGTTACTTGGTCGTAGAGGATGTCGTAGTGCCATCAGTAAGGTGTTTTGTGACAAATTTGAGGTTAGGAATGCGAAAATTTATGTATATTCTACAGTAAATTCAGTGCGATTCGCTTCTACTAGTGGAAACGATCCAGGAAAAACTGCTACTTTAGTAGATTCAATACCAGAGCCTCCTCCTGTGCCCGATCCTGCGACTTTTAGTCAGTTGAATGAGACAGTTCAGTCTTTGGCTGCAAATGGTGAGCCAACTTTTGCCAGTATGGGTCTCGGTGGTTGGACTCCCGTTGGACTTGTACAAAACTGCTTAGAGTACTTACATGTCTCTTTAGATATACCATGGTGGGGAGCCATTGTAATAGGTACTGTAGTCGTCAGACTTGTTATGTTTCCTTTGGTGATAATATCTCAGAGAAATGCGGCGCTTATGAATAATAATCTACCAGAAATCCAGTTACTACAGATGAAAATGACCCAAGCTAGGCAATCTGGTAATCAACTGGAAACTGCACGTTATGCACAAGAGATGATGTTGTTTATGAAAGAGAAAGGATTGAATCCATTGAAAAATGCCATGGTACCGTTAGCACAGGCTCCACTTTTTATATCTTTTTTCATGGGATTAAGAGGTATGGCAAATTGTCCTGTTGAAAGTATGACACAAGGTGGATTGTGGTGGTTTGCTGATTTAACTGTACCTGATCAATATTTTTTACTACCTCTTTTGACCAGTGCTACAATGTGGGCTACTATTGAGCTTGGTGTGGATACTGGACGACTTCAGGCACAAAACATGCAAATGATGAGATATTTCCTAAGGGCCATCCCGATTGTCATGATACCATTCACTATCAATTTCCCTGGAGCTATTCTAGTTTACTGGTGCTCTAGCAATTTTATATCATTGGTTCAAGTTGGTTTTCTTAAGATTCCAAGTGTCAGAGATTATTTTAAGATTCCAAAAGTCGTTGTACACACTGCTGAAAGTCTTCCTATCCAAAAGAAGGGTTTTGTGGCTGGAGCAAAAGATTCATGGACAAATATCAAAATTTCCAAAGAACTCGCTGAGAGGCAGAGGGTTGATGAAATGCTATTTACGAGAGCAGGCAAAGGACCACTTCAGAAAACTTATAAATATGATCCTACAAAATTATCTAATGTTGATATAAAATCTAAATAGATTATAGTCTGTAATTATGATATAGTCTGTGAATATATTAGTCTATTATTTGATTAATTTCTGAACATGTTGTTTTTATTTATAAATAACTTTACTATGCAATATATAAAACTAGTAAGTACTAATGATGACATTAGCAGTATCTTTATTATTATTTCTGCTAACAACTGATTATCACCATATCAATAGTAACCATGGTCATTAGTACTTGTTATTATTACCTTCGGACCTGGCATCCATTTCAATGGACATAACTTATATTATTTTATTATAAGACTTCATTATAAGATTTTATTGTAATAAAATTCCCAAGTAATTACAAAAAGTCTAGTAATAACATAAAATCAAATTAAGCAACAGTCAAATCTCCATGTCCATTTCAATGGCCAGATATTCAACTAAATATATATAAATAAGTTTTTTTTTTTACCAAAAATACTTTTTTTATACAATAAATACTTGATAAATACACAGTAAATTAACAGAAATATTTTTTTAATATGGAGTTGGAGTTGTATTGATAAATGAACACCATTTTCAAAACTGTCTTAAATGTTATTTAAAAAATGTCTTTTAAAAATTAAAAGGTGTTAGGTTTATATGAAGATTTATATGCATTTCATTAAAAAAGAAAATTGCAGTCTTTGTTAAATAATAAAATGTTAATACTCAAGATTTGGCTGTATGGCTTAACCGTAAATTACTTAAGAAAAAAATGTGGGAGGGTTGGAAATCATTCTGTACGAACCTAACTCCTGATATTTCTCCATCAATCTTATGGAACAATATACGTAGATTCAGGGCAGTATTTAAAGAACGCATTCCTCATTTTATTGATAAAAAAGTAACAGAGAAATTTTAGATAAAATGTGTTTTATCCCATGTAAAAGATTCAGCCCCTCGCTGTGATGGGATCCCCTTCTCATTTTTAGTTCATTTAATGTATGTAAGCCTAAATTATCTATTACAGCTTATTAATTAAATCTCGATTCCTGATAGAACTCAGGAAGTAATTCCCATATTAAAGCCGGGTAAGTCTCCTTTGGACCACAATTCATATAGACCAATAGCTTTGTCTTCAGTAATTTCTAAATTAGCCAAGATATTTAGTTAAGAATAGGTTAGAATGGTTTGTTGAAAGTTAAGGTTTGTTGGCATCCAGTCAATATGGCTTCATGAAAGGTAAAAGTACCATGGATAGTTTAGGTATATTCACTACAGATATCTGGTTAGTATTTTCCAATAATCAATCTGTCCTTGCTACGTTTCTGAATATATCTGCTGCATATGATAATGTAGATAACCATATCTTAAGAAAGAAATTGTTATTGTTATCATCTGGACGTTCTATTGTCGAATTAAGTAACTCTCTAAATAATGCATTAAAACATTTAAAGTCATGGTTAGATGAAAATGGTTTAAACCCTTCTGTTTCGAAAAGTAGTGCTGTCCTATTTGCAAGGATGCGTCTTCCTCCACCATTCTCAATCTATATATATAAAAATTTTGTGTCACGATGTATGTTGCCAATAAACTCTAAAACTATTGAACCGATTTCAATCAAATTTCACATGTAGGGTAAAGTGTTCAACAGTGGATCACTTTTTTTCCAGAGGCTGTAGCTCAGCTCTGAATTGAGTTAGAAAGACGAAAATTGAGATAGTAGGTAGGAAATGTAATCTAGTTTAATATAGGTGACTTGTTTTTATGAATAGCGTTAAAAATAATACTATGTATACACTTTTTTAAAAAGTCAAAAATGAGCCACTGTGTACACTGGGTGTTGAACAGTGGCTCGCCCTAATGTTCACAGTGGATCGGGGCAGTAACAGTGGATAATTGATTCTAAAATGAAATAAAAAACTGTAGTATCAAGTTTTTAATTAAGTATTTGAACTCTTAGGTACAATATGTAATAAAATCAGTCACAATATTAGAGATCACAATAATATCTTCTTCAACTCTTCAAATAAACATCTTCAACATTAAAAAAATAAGAACACTTTGAACTTATTTAGTTAAACTAAAAAAAACTTAAATATAAAATGCACTAGGACTCTTTAGTCATACAAACTAGGTAACTAAGTAAATATGCATCCAAAAAGAAATAAAATATTAATAAAATAATTGCAATGCAATTACAACCTACATTGCAACATTAAATGCAAATGGCTTTTTTGGTTATATCGACTAAATGTCAATTCAAAACAAATCAAATATAATCAAACAAAACAACTTCTTAAATCTCTTAATAATTAATAAGTAAAACGAAACTATAACATTTTAATGAACATTCAGGTTCGAAAAATCGATTGGGAAGCAATAATAAGATTGCTGTCTCATGGTGCTGCCTCCAAAAGTGGGTTTTGGCAATATATATTTAATATCGCGCTCTTTTGCAATCGACAAATCAGGATTATTAGGCATGGCATATTTACCATGGGCCTTCTTACGCAGATAGCTAATGTAATAGTCAAGATTATGATTTCTGCTTTCTAGCACTTTGCCAATGTAAAAAACTTTTTGCTTCTTAGTAGAAAACTCTACTAAAACAAATTCACCCTCTCGAGGCGGTCTTGGTAGAGGATCAGTGAAATCATTTTCTGTCAAACAAATTGTTTCATTTTCGATGTCATCATCTGGCCACTCGTTATCTTCATCTGATTCCTGGTATTCTACATTAATGTTTTGATCTTCTTCACTCTGATCTTCAGAGTCACTTTGTAACACCTTCTTTATCACTTTTCTTTGTTTTGGATGTACTTTTTTTTTAGATTTAGCCTTTTCTATTTCTTGTTTTTCGGGGGTATCAGTTACTATCATACTACGTCCTAATTTTCTGGATTTCCGTTCAGATTTTCTAGGCCCAGCTTTAATAGGATTCCTAAATTCAAATGGGGATATAAAATGAGGACTCTTCCTTACTTCAGTGGTACGCATCGGCGATTCAATAGGTTTGCTTAAAGTATTAGATTGTAAAGTGGATTCCGTCAGTATTTGAGAAATATGTCTTGATGAATCTAATTGTGATCCTAATTCTAAGTCCAAATTATTTTCAGCAAAAAAGTTAATAATAATCGATGGTGAATTTTCTCTGGTAGCCGGTTCATTTGCTAAATTCAAATTATCAATAAAGTTTGAGCAAGTAGGGATTGGTGACTGATTGTGAATAGGTAACTCGGCGTCATCGGAGCAACTAGGAGCTTGGAGCATCGGAGCGTCGGCGGTGGTATCATGATCTGGTGAATTTAAAATTTGATCCTCGTCATTAGGACACGGGCGATCTGTCACTGTACTTGGCATAAAGTCATCTTCAGTGAAAATGTTGCGGTCGAATGGGTAAATCCCACATTTTCTAAACGAATTAATAATATTGACTGGTGTCATTACTTTGAGGAAGGCCGTACCAACTATTTCGCCTACATCATAAATGGTTACAGGTTTTCCAGGATGTTGCATCAACCATGAATCTATGGCTCCGTTATAATAGGTCTTGAATGGGCCATAGATCCCAACATCGAGGGGTTGTAATTTTGCTGATGTATGAGGATGCAAAGTTAAAATGTGAACTCCTGAAGCTTTGGCCAAATTTAGTGCTTCTAACGACAAGTGCGACTCGTGGTTGTCCATTATTAATATGCAAGGATTTTCAGGTGTAGAATTGGAATGTTTTATTACGTGCCGGATAACTTCTGGAAAAATTTCTGAATTCATCCAACCACTTGATGCTGCTAACCCCAAAGTACCAGGAGGTGTATTTTTGATCATAAAATTTTTAAAATTTTTCCTTGGAAACACCATAACAGGAGGTAGTGCTATACCACCCGCACTTATGATGCAACAAGTTGTTACGAGAGTTCCTCGCTCTCCACTCGTAACTTTACTTACATTGCGGCGACCTTTGGGTGCCACTACACGCTGAGGCTTTTGTACAGTGGTAGTGGATGTTTCATCTAAGTTAAATATACGATTTGCTCCTAATTCTGGGTATCGTTTCATCAATGTCTCTAAGTTATTGAAAAATACTTCAACATTTGACCTGTTGAAGGCTGTGGCGCGTGCAAGACTGCACGCTTCAGGTTTTCTCAAACTAATGTCTCGATGCCTTCGCATGAAGCTCCGCAGCCATTCTTTTCCCGCCATTTTTTGGACATTCCAGCTTTCAGGCATTTTCAAATTATTATTTTTTGCCATTTCGTATGCGACCCGTCTTGTATCTTTTGATGTCATACCATAGAATAAAGCCGAACAATATGTAATATATTCTTTAAGACTCTTTTCCTGATTATTAGAAAATACTTTATTTACGTCATAGTGAGGTACTAACCGCATGGATTCAACAGAAGAAAAATGTTTTGATTTCAGGTAATATCGCCTTAAAGTAGTAAAAGGAATGTTGTAATCTTTTGATGCTTTTCTCACACTCATACCTCTTTGTATTGCCTGCAAAGCATCTCTCATATTTTCTTCAGTGTGGGCCCCGATAGAACGGGGTTTTTCTGAACGTGGCATCCTAAAAATAAAAGAACCTAATTTTAGCAAAACCAAAAACACGTCCGTAAGCGACAAATAAGTATGATTATTGTAAGTAAGCATAATATTAAATTAGTAGGTAACACTTTCTTATTTAAGTTGATAAAATCACACCAGTAGTACAATAATCCAGTAGTACACAGTGAATCAAGACCCACTGTGTACCTTCGTTGATTGAGCCACTGTGTACGAAATCGCCATTTTGAATTCCAAAGCATGTAGGTAAAATAATATTCATAATATCAAATGTTTTTATACGTGAAAATAACCTTTGTTTAATACTATCAACAGTTGAAATGAAGCAATAGTAAAAAAAAAACCTATATTTGAGTTGAAACAGAAAATATCTTACCTTAAAAGTAAATATATTTTTCAAAATTATAATAAATGCTTGTAGCACACACACTCCGCGGCGTAGGCGCTGCTCGACTAGTTGTGACAAGTTGGTATCCCAAATACTACCTATGAGTGAAAGAGGCAATTCTATATCTTTATCCTATACCCTCATACTGTTACTGAGCCACTGTAT